TATGGGGCTCTCCCGGCGCAGCCGCGAAGCAGCATTCACAAGTCGCTCTAACACCTCGTCATTTCGTCACTAGTTTATAACATTTCAATGGCAAACAAAATCATCTTAGCCGCAAAGCGACCGGATGAGTAACTAACAATAGCATGAACACAGGCGAGATATCAGTGGAAGTTGAGCGCCCGAGGCATCCGAAGCCGTCAGTCATGCAGGCGAGATATACCAAGAAGAAGGAGCAGAGGGTGCAGAAGGGGAAGAACCTAGCGGGTGTAAAGGCCGAAACCACCCGCCTCCCATGCCAGCCCCCCGCCGAGTATGAAGGGGAACCGGACATACAACTCAAACAGGTCAGCAAGTCCAAGCAGAAGGTGTGGGAGGAGAGTGTTGAGGTCAGAGGCCTCAAAGATATGGAGATTGCTCATTTGGGAGAGGAGAACGCGGCCTTTAAAGGTCAAAGTCAAGAATATCAGGCGCCTCCTAGAGGCAGCGGTTGATATGGTGAAGGAGTAATTAGTTGTTGTTTTTTTTCCTTTTCTTTCTTTCTTTTCTTTCTTTTTTAGAAAATGAATATGTTATGGGGCCGTTGAGTTAAGATCTCTTATATTTGTAGAGCTTCATATCGTAGAGGTGAGGTTGAAGGTGATGTTTATGAGCATTATTTACGGCTGCCTTCCTAATTGGGACTAGCTCTGCAATAATTTAGCACACTGCAGCTCGTGTGCTACAATGTATTTTATAGATATCTCCGTTGCGCTTATTACATTCTTTCTTTTTTTAATCAATTCATAAACTGTATTAGAATAGTGTTAGCTGTTAATCAAAGTATATTTTTTACATTATGAATGGATTCATCCTGTGTCAATCTCAGTGCTCTATGTTTATAACTGCATTTATATACTTGAATTAAGTATAAAAATAAATTATTCAAGTTCTATAAAGCTGCATCATTGTGATAATACTGTGAAGAAGTCTAAATGTTTAAAAATTCATAATTATATGTCTGTGAAAAAATCAGAGTGTTTATGAAGTATTTTTCTTTGAAAAATAAAAACTGAATCTTCTGATTTTCAAGCTACTGAAATCAAAAATCATGATTTTATATGAAAATGAGATGAATTATGAATGTCTCTATGAATATTCTTTTATAAATGAGAGAAATTTTACTGAAGGTAATATTGAACTCTACAGCTTTCTTCACCAGCAATTTTTACAGATGATGAAACTTCAATAATAATTAAACAATCTGAATATAAATATATTGAAAACTGTATAAATGTCAATATCTGTCATATATGAAAAAAGAAAATGTCTTTTTCTTCTGAATAAATTTGCAGAAGAGTTTTCAATCTATTTAATTTGAAAATAAAAAATAAAAATCAAATTTGAAGAAGATGAATCAGTGATAAACGTTTTTTTTATACAGATTTATTACATTTATAATTGACTAGAAGAAAATGCTTTAATGAAGTTTCAATTTTGAATTAAATTATACATGTATGAAATATACATATTTGAAGAAGATTTTCATCAATTGAAAAATCTATTCTTGAATCTTACACTTCAAATGTGTGTGATGCAATGATTGAATAAAAGTCATCAAAGAAATACTTCATTAATGAATTATCTACTCAATTTCAACAGCAAAATATACAATGCAGAATATTAAAACTGAAATGATATTGTCAAGATTAATTTTCTGAATCAGTATATTAACTTTAAATTATTTAAAGTCCGTATTTGACATTTCATATACACATATTATCATAATTACTGCATTCAATTGCATCAACTTGATAACAATTTTGCATGTTTCAATACTGTTCAAGAAAGCTGCAACAATTGTAGATAGAATTTCATATTTATTATTATATTTACTACATCAACTGTCTCTGCAGACACTATAAATTTTACCTCTCATATGAATGCAGAATGATCAAGAATTCTCAGTCTTTTTAAATGAGAAGTTATTAATTGAATTCTTAAAGACATCTACATTTACTGCAATAGATTAAAACATTTTATAAATCAATATATCAATGTAATAATTTTTGCTTTTACATTATGAATGAACATAACTGCATCTGTGAATGAGCAAGAACAAGAATAAAGAAATGAAGAGTTTTCATTTTAAAATATAAATGAGAGTTTAAAAAATAAGAGACAAGTTGAAGATTTGAGTAAAAGATGTAAATGAATATAATTTTAATTTTCATCCCTGTAAATAATTTAATCAATGTATGAGTAATGATTGATAGTGATTTCCCTCACTACACTCTTATAAACACTCAGTTGATTGAGAAGTATAAACTTCAGTGTATTCTCTTTTTTGAATCATATTTGAACATGGTTATTTTAAATCATATTTAACAAAGATTAAAAATGATTTAAATAACTTATATTCAGATTGTCAATTATATGAAAATTCAAAGCATTTTTATTTACGTTTTACAAAGCATACAGAGTTAAGATTGAGATTGAGAGAGAAGTTTGAATTGAGACAGTTAAATTTAAAACTTTTATTCAATATAAAAACTGAAAATGAATTATTTTTTTTTCTTTTATTTCTATGTATTTACTTTAATTTTTGTTTTTGTTTTTATTTGTATTTTGATACTTTTACTTTGAAATTTATTTCATTTTGATTATTTTTGATTTTGATTTGTTTTAAAAAGTTCGATTTGTGAATGCTTTCTTTTCTTTTAATAATTGCTGTTTTTTTATAATTTTTATTTCATTTGTTTTAAATTGAATATATTGATTTGTTGTCATTCTTTTGACATTCTTTCTTAAATTAAATAGTTTGAATAGTTATTTGATTCTGGGCTGGAATTCTGCTATTGCATGTATTAAATTGACTTTGTATATTAGCTTATTCTTAAGTTGAAAAATCCTGGAGTATTTCAATTAGATGTCAACGGGGTGGGAACAGAAGAGGCCGGCCATATGGTGATCGTCCCTTGGAATAGTGGTTGGTGGTTTAGGGTTTCAGGATCTATTCGAGTAGGATATGCTGTTGCGAATAATGTTAAGTAGTTGGACTACAATCATATAACTCTTGGCCGATTTATGATCAATCGATTTGTAAGCTCATTGGAGATTGGGATGATGATGAATGACGGCGTATATGGATTATAGGTTTCAGTCAACCGAATTTTGCCCGTAATCTGATCTGGCATTGTCGCTATCCCTTGTACGTCTTGCACTGTAAGTTCATAGACGTCTCCGGAAAAGGAGGCTAGTGTGCCGTTAGCTACTGTAGTTAAGTTTTCTTCAGGGCCAGATTTCAAATTTGCTGATGGAAGCTGATTAGCGTCTATTACTCAGTATAGTGTTGGCCTCATATACTTACTTCCAGTTATCTGTGGTTCGATTGGAGGCAACATTCGACTGCCTGGGTCAACACCACCATAAACTTGCTTAGTCCCTTCACAGATCAGTTTTATTCTCTGTAGGTGACGGAGTGGAAGTTACCCTCAGCGTAATTTTTCGCAAAAACCTATACATACATACATACATACCAAGCCCAGCAGCGCAGAGAACAATTCCGTCATTGCCCGTAAGAGTTTTGACCCTCTGGAGAAACTCAAAATAATCTATCGATTGGGCAGTGCGTTTTGAATCGGATGGCGGCCCAGTAGCCAACAGCTGAAATGCTGCGTGAACACGCCTTGCTTCTCTTGGTTTCAAGCCCATCCGGTGTTCTGTTAACTCTGAAAACTCGCGGAGCCGGCGAACAGCAGAATCCACCGAAAACTGAGCTTGAGGCATGATTACTAAGCCCTCTCGCCTCTAACTAGACCAACTGAAAAATGGTAAGCAAAATGAGTATAAAGTGAAGCAGAGTTGGGAAAAGTTGAAAACAGTTGGGGAAAACCGTTTTATTAATCTCGAGTAGATGATCACATGCGGCAAAAACTACAACAGGTTAGGCATCAGTGCGTTGTTCGCTGGGCCAAGCGTAAAAGAGCTTTGGTGGCATGCTATGTTGCCGTTCAAATGTAACTCAATCAGGTTAGTTTGCTTTTCCTGGCTGCTTTGACTCGGGAAAGTGCAAATTCCCTTGTCTGGGATTCCGATATGGGATCCTAGCTTTCAGCAACCACGCTTCTCTTGATAGAGATATCCTCCGCCAAACACCGAAGCAACCTTCGGCCAGTGGCTATAATTGGTTGGCATTTCAATCAAAAGCGGCATCCCAACCGTCCCAGGCATTAGCGCCCAGATATAGTGGTCTCTGATACGCAATTGTGACCCAACCCAAACTGCATGTGCTCCCCCAACCTTCGGTCAAATCGCACTCGTTCCTCGTCCGGTTAAAAGACCACGCTTCACCAATTCCCATCTTTCAAAATGGTTCATCATCAAATGATGCCCAGAATTGAGTGTCAAACGCGGATAGTGGCCAGAAAACGCGTTGCACCTGAAGACAAAGGTAATTTCCAGATCTTTTTACTGTATTCCAGACTGACTTGTTATAGGGAAACAAGTTAAGCGAGTTAAGAGAGAACCACAGAAAGAGCAGCCGAAGTCCTACCGCAGGAGTGTGCGGCTAAGCAGTAAAAACGCCTCTGCAACTGTATGTGCGCTTCTTCCGGCTGTATCACTTTGATATGATACTGATTCAACGGAGATATTACAGGACTCTCCGACCAGCATCCAGACCCGAGAACAGAATACAAAACTAAATCAGAAACGATCTTGTGAAGACCAAACACTCTCCTCTTCAAAACGACCACGATTGTCTTTACTGAGCTTAGCTATTGACCCCCTTGAGGGAGAGAAGCGACATATTACCAACTGGAAGAAGATTGACCTGACTAGATATTGGTGCAGGAATGACTGCTGGCCTAAAGAATATTTTAGAGCACAGCCTGGACAGATTGAAAGCATGAGCCACCTTCTTGCCAAAAAAAAGTCAACAGCTTCTCTTCGCCGCAAGAACTCAAATTCGAGTCTTGCTACAGGCTCTAACGCACCAACTGATCAAGAATCGAGAGATGGAAAGAGCGCCAAATACAGAAGCGCTACTTATGAGACCGTCCTTGCCACCAAAGGCAGCTTCATGGCTGAATCTGAACTTGAAGTAACGGAAAGAAGCAAGGAGATTTGCAAAATGCTACTTGACGAGAAACAGACGATTCCCGAAGGCACGATATTTCAGAATGACCGATTCCGGAAGGCTTGCCAAAAGCTACAGAGTAAAAATGAATCAAGAGTTATTCAAGATATATCTCGGTTGATTGTGCCTGCGGCGGAGACATTAGCTACGTGTGGCGCTAAGAATCTGGAGTGTTTGGTTGAAAGCGTCAATGAACCATGGGGTTCCTCTATTTCCTTCTGTGGACCACGTCCGCAGCCTGATTATGCGGTCGGGTTCGGCCGGTCTGCGTTCACAGGAAACGAGCTAAATAAGTTCGAGCCGTTCCTCGGCTACGACCCGGATACCTACAGCTCCTTCTTCCTGGCCACCTTCTACATGTACTTCCCCTTCTTGACCAGTGAGGTGAAAGGCACCGCCGCGCTCGACATCGCCGACCGGCAGAACGCACACAGCATGACCATTGCCGTGAGGGCCGTCATTGAGCTGTTTAAACTTGTAGGACGCGAAGACGAGGTCAATCGCGAGATCTTGGCTTTCTCGATCTCACACGACAACAGGACAGTGAGAATCTACGGCCATTATGCGGTCATTGAGGGAAGCAAGACTTCCTTCTACCGTCACCCTATCAGAACATTTGACTTTACGGAGCTGGACGGCAGAGAGAAGTGGACTGCTTACACGTTTACGAGGAACGTTTATGACAAGTGGGCGCCGGATCATCTGAAAAGGATCCACTCGGCTATTGATGCGATCCCTCCTGGAGTAAATTTTGATGTTCCTCTGTCTGAACTTGGACTCTCTCAATCAAACACTCCATGCTTTTTGGAAGATGACGGCCAACTAAGTCAGACAAGCTTTATAGCCTCATCAGAAGCTACACCCAATACTTCCTTCACCCAACAGACGCATGTCTTGAAGCGGCCAAGGAGGCAGAAATAGTGTGTTGGTGTTGTGTTTAAGATAAGAATGAATTATTATCATTTCGATTGCATGTGCTATGTCAACTTGATCCAGAATATCTCCAGAATATCTTTATACGCCTTTCCGTAAGCACATTACCCATAAATATCATCCCATACTCTTCAAAGCCTGCGTCAGGCAAAGTAAGATCTTCAACTTCATAGAAATTTTGCAGCCCAATTTTCACCACCGGCAAAAAATGAAATTCTCGTTTCATCTCAGCAGTCGACTTCTGCAGTGACTCTTGGCCAAGTAGGCCCATCAATTGGTTCCCCAGAGGGAACAGCGTTGGAGGGCGGGCTGCGCATATTGGCATTATTTTTGCATACGTTCCAGATAGCCTGAAGTAGCCAGCTTCTCTATCGGATATTTTAGCCGGTTTTGATTAAGCAGCTTCATCCGTGCGTCGGGCACATATATACCCAACGGGGATGACCTTTTTCGTTATTCACGCGTGACACGGGTACCCAGGGACCCATCGAGAGGATTCGATCAAGTGCAGTAGAAAAGGTACGCTTCATCAAGTTTCCCTTTTGTACAATCGGCTTGCTGCAGTAGATAATGAGATTTAGAATGGGTCGCGAACCCCCTTAGGCGAGCTGCAATTCGTGCACTTACTAAACAGTCCCAAAAGCCAAGAACAATCTCCTCCTCCTCGTCCAAAAGCCTTTTTTGTTCATCGGTGACTGGAAGGTTGTAAGTCTCTGCTCGATCAAAATCTATCCAAACAACTCTTTCCGAATCGTCCTTGACGATCATCATGTTCCTAGGTTTCGGATCCCTGTGCCGTACTCCTGCTCCGTGTATCTCCTGTATGCCTTTGAGAAAGTTGTCCTTTCGTCTCTGTGTATAGTTGTGCAGATGAATCATCTCAAGATTCGGTATGTACTCCAGAAAAATAGCGCTAGGAAGGTATTTATCATGAAAGAACATTTTCAGGTAAGGTTGGCATGGTTTCGGATCGAACTTCTCCATCGTCCCAAGGAAATGAGGGATAACTCCACGTTCACACAACCCTCGATCCCTTAGTCGCCGATAGGCGGCAGACTCAAGCACATGGATATCCAATTCACGATCTTTCGGTTCGTAGTACCGTCGTGGCCCTCGACCGTGATGCTGTTACCATCAGTATCAGACCATAGCAATTCTCGGAGGATCTTACTTACCACCTTCATAACACATATCTGGCCATGAACAATAACAAGAAATATCACCGAATAATCGGAGGCAAAAAGCTTCGCCTTGAAAACTATCTCGGAAGGTTTGATACTGTTAAGCTCCATCGTTACCTAGATCCTTTCGAAAGTGGGTTTGGGTCGCTGGGCGAAAGACGGCCTGTGACTTTTGACCTCGAGAAAAGGAAGTAAAACACGTGATATAAATGATACCTTGGTATGTTTGTCTTGTTTGTCTGTCTCGCCCCGTTCGAGAAAGTGCCAAAATGGAAAGCTTGCTCAATAAAATGTAAAAAGAAACTTTTTGCTACAACAATGCAGCTAAAACTTGGCCATGGTTATTTTAAATCATATTTAACAAAGATTAGAAATGATTTATGTGATTTATGTTCAAATTGTCAGTTATATGAAAACCCAGAGCATCTTCTTTTACTTTGTACAAAGTATACAGAGTTAAGATTGAGATTGAGAGAGAAGTTTGAATTGACACAGTTAAATTTAAAACTTTTGTTCATGTAATGTGACGGCGCCGAGGCGGTTGCTACTCGGCAGCGGCACAGAGGAGGATGGTATATAATGGGAAGCCTTATGGGTGGGCTTGATTATCTCGCTTGAACCGCGAACTCGTAGAATACTATACAAATACTGTACTACCAGAGGTACTCGGCACACTAAGAATATTGTATGAGGACAGTGGTAACTCTGGTATCTTATTGTCAAAAGATAAAAGACGAATCGCTGGCTCCTGGAATAGAGAGCCAGCATCTAGCTATTCTATATAGACAACGGGCAGCCATCCTCCCCTCACTCTATAAGCGAGGGTAGCCGAAGCAACTCCGCAGTGGCGCTGCATTGATCTGCCAGAAGGAATCCAGACCCCGTATAGAAACAGGATTCTCATATCTCATCAATCGGATCCTCTTCTATTGCATCCGAATGATGTCATAGGGTGGTTGGAAACCGGTTCGGACACCTGCGTGATGTCATGGGATAGATGGGATTATCCGAGGGGAAACGATGGGCCGTGTGGAGCCGTCACGGGGCCTTGGCACAACCAAGGGTGTGACAGTTCAATACAAAAACTGGAAATGAATTCTTGATTGAATATTTGAAACAATCAAATATTGCTACAAGATTTCAATTGAATAGTTTGATCTGATAATGAATTCAATTTTTGTTTTTCTTTTTTTCTTTTATTTCTATGTATTTGCTTTAATTTTTGTTCTTATTTTTATTTTTATTTTGTTACTTTTGCTTTGAAATTTATTTCATTTTGATTACTTTTGATTTTGACTTGTTTTGAAAAGTTTGATTTGTGAATGCTTTCTTTTTTTTTAATAGCTGCTGTTTTTTATACTCTTTATTTCATTTATTTTGAATTGAATATATTGATCTGCTGTCATTCTTTTGACATTTTTTCTTAAATTGAATAGTTTGAATAGTTATTTGATTCTGGGCTGGAATTCTGCTATTGCATGTATTAAATTGACTTTGTATATTAGCTTATTCTTAAGTTGAAAAATCCTGGAGTATTTCAGGTAGATGTCATAGTCACTGACTGCATACATCTATAATAGAAGAATAATAATAATAATAATCTTTAATATTGTATGATTATTGATAAATCTGATCTGAAAAGATGCTATATTTTAATGAACTAATAAAGCAGATGTAGCATTTGAAGAGTTGAAGTATATACTCACAAACACTTTGATGCTGCAATCATTCAATTCAGACAAATATACAATTCTGAAAATAAACTTCTCTGACTATGTGGTTGAAAAAGCATTGATGCAATATGATAATGAAAGCATTCTACAATCCTATACATTCATTTCAAAAAAAATATCTCCCACTGAATGTAATTACGAAATCTATGATAAGGAACTCTTGGCTATCATATGATGCTTAGAAAAATGAAAGTCAGAGCTCATGAATGTTGAAAAGTTCAAAGTCATCACTGATCACAAGAATTTAAAATACTTTACAATCACTTGTAAACTTACTGAGAGGCATATACACTGGTTATTATTTCTCAGCTGATTCTCATTTATGATTTGTTATTGATCAGAGGCAGAGAACACTCTTATGAATACTCTGTTTCACCGAAAATAAAATATACTGTTTGATGATTTGAATGACAGATGAAAACACTAAAAGCATTGATTAATCAACTCTGCAATCATAGAAAGTTCCACACAATCAGATGAATCTTATATACACATTAATCAATTCTATATTCAATACCCCTCACTTGAAGAGCAATAAAGGCAAGTAGTAAAGACAGATGAACTTTGACAACAAGCTGCTAAAGTTATACAAGCAGAGCACTCTAATTCCCTGCACATATATACTAAAAAACAGACATCTCAGCATGCTCAATTGATGATGATAAATGTCTACACTTCTGAGATAGACAGTAAGTCTCTGATTCAGAACCTCTATGAATACAAATCATGCAGAAAATTCATAACTCATCAATGACTGAGTATTCAGATTATGAAATCATGTATAGCATCATAATTTAAGACTTCTACTGATTGAATATATTAAAAAACATATATCAGTTTGTACACAATTGCAATTGCTGTGGCTTAGTAACAGCATGATATGAATAATGAAAAGAAATGTTGAAACCTTTGTTTATTTTTAAATGAATCTGATGTGATATAACAATTGATTTTACAGTTTTTTTATCTGAAATTAGAGATTCTATGAACATTTTAATCATTGTTGATTGACTCAACAAGAGTGTAATACTGTAGCTCTGTGATAAAATGAATGTTAAAATAGTTGTGAATGCTTTGTTCAGAGCTCATTCTATCATATGCACAGTCTGCTTTCATTCATTATATTAAATAAAAGCAGCCAATTCATCAGCACACTCTGAACCTGTATATATCAGCTGCTAAGAATTGAATGAAAATTATCAACAACATATCATTCAGAGACTGATGAAGCTACAGAGAGAATGATATAAATAATGAAGAACATTTTTTATAAATTCTGCAATTACACATAAAACAACTGAAGCCATCTGCTATCATACATTGAAATTGTGATTAATGATTGAAATTCTATTATAATAGATATAAACTCATTTTTTCTTCTGTATAGATACAATTTAAAAGTTTTGAACTTTTCTAAAAATCTCTGAAAAATCATGTATGCCTGCAGTTTCATATAAATAATAGAGAACATTGTGAGCAAGTTTAAAAAAGTTTGCAAATGAGCAGAAACCTCCATGATCAGCATTCAGGTAAAATTATGAGAATCAAATAAACATTAGAAAAATTCCTGCAATTCAATATTATATAAAAGACAGAATCTGATTAGATTTCAAGAACATAAAGAACAGATCATCTCTCAAATATATTAAATAAATCATCACATCCAAATATACTGTGACAGGAGGGTGCTGAGCACACACCAATTATCCACTTCAATATTTTATCCTGGACCATTCCATGATTATCTTTTCAAACCAAACCTGGCTTGTAAATAGGAGACCAACAGGGAAATATTCCTATATTTAGGAGAAATAA